CGCACAGTCGAGTCCGACTCTTCGCAACCCCATGGACCAGATCACGCCAGGCCTTCCGGTCTTCTGCCATCCTCTGAAGTTTGCTCAACTTCATGTTGCTAGTGGAGCCTTTTCTGACCTGGATGGCTTGTGATAGTTGAATGTTGCATATTGGAAAGTTTTGTCTGCATGTGAGTGGTGAAGCAGACATAGTGTGAGATCCAGGAGTCCATTGCTAATCAGAGTTTTTGACAGAGCGTTCTTCACTGTGGTAGCTCCCATCATAATAGTATCCACCATGATGTATGGCTGGACAAATATGAAGGATTCAGGAATGTTGTTCAGAGATATGAGGGAGGATATCTCCTCTGACTTTGGCCCATGGTAGCTGAGAGGTAAGAGTTTTCCGATTCTCTGATAGAATTCTAAGATGGTCATTCTGGGATTGTTGCTTTCTGGAGGAGGAACAGCAAGCTAGTGGAGCCTTTTCTGACCTGGGTGGTTGGTCAGAGTTGAATATCATGTATTAGAAAGTTTTATCTTCATGTGAGTCGTGAAACAGACATAGCGTGGGATCCAGGAATCCATTGCTAATCAGAGTTTTTGACTGAACATTCATCACTGTGGTAGCTCCCACCATAATAGTATCCACCATGATGTATGGCTGGACAAATATGAAGGATTCAGGAATGTTGTTCAGAGATATGAGGCAGGATATCTCCTCTGACTTTGGCCCATGCTAGCTGAGATGTAAGAGTTTTTCGATTCTCTGATAGAATTCTAAGATGGTCATCCTGCGACCGTTTTTGCTGTTCAGTCGCACAGTCGAGTCCGACTCTTCGCAACCCCATGGACCAGATCACGCCAGGCCTTCCGGTCTTCTGCCATCCTCTGAAGTTTGCTCAACTTCATGTTGCTAGTGGAGCCTTTTCTGACCTGGATGGCTTGTGATAGTTGAATGTTGCATATTGGAAAGTTTTGTCTGCATGTGAGTGGTGAAGCAGACATAGTGTGAGATCCAGGAGTCCATTGCTAATCAGAGTTTTTGACAGAGCGTTCTTCACTGTGGTAGCTCCCATCATAATAGTATCCACCATGATGTATGGCTGGACAAATATGGAGGATTCAGGAATGCTGTTCAAATATCTGAGATAGTACAATTGCCATCCTCCAGGTGGGGCCTGGTGATTGCCCAGAATTACAACTGATCTCCACAATACAGAGATAAGTTCACATCGAGAAAAATGGCTGCTTTGGAGGGTGGACTTTATGGCACCCTATCCTTCTGAGGTCCCTTTCTTCCCAAATCCCTGCCCCACAAGCTCTCTAACTCTTCAGCAATTTCAACTAAGGGTTGGAAACCCTACCCATTATGATCTTGGCCCGTGAAACCCCACACGAAAGAGATTTGCTATTCTCAGAATTCTAAAAGATGATGAAGGAACCATTTATTCTAGGATGAATATAGAAAAGCCAGTGGGGCCTTTTCTGTCTTGGATGGTTGGCAACTGTTTGATGTAGCTGTGGAAGGTCAGTAGTTCAAGACCCGAGTGTGCCGCATGACGGAGTGAGCTCCCGTCTCTAGTTCCAACCTAGCAGTTCGAAAGCAAGAAATTGCAAGTAGATAAATAGGTACCACTTCGGTGGGAAGGTCACAGCGTTCCGTGCGCCTTGGTGTTGAGTCATGCCGGCCACATGACCACGGAAATGTCTTCGGACAGCACTGGCTCTTTGGCTTTGAAACGGAGATGAGTACCGCAACCCTAGAGTCGGACTCGACTGGCTTTCGAGCAAGGGAACCTTTACCTTTACCTTTACCTTATTGAAAAGTATTGTTTTCTAGACAGTGATAAATGCATTTAGTATGGGAACTCTTGGCCCCTGTATAACCAGAGCTGGTTTTTGACTGAGCATCCATCACTGTGGTAGCCCCCACCATAGTATGCACCATGATACATAGCTTAACAAATATGAAACATTCAGAAGGACATCTGCTCTGACTGGAGCCTACAGTGCACCAGGTGTGAGATAATCGCTATTCCTGGACAGAACTGAGAAAAGTGATGATGAATCCACTTATTCCAGTATGAGGCTTGTCTAACCAATTTAACTTCTTCTGACTCGAGTGGTTAGTGATAGATGAATGTAAAGCATTGTCTTAATATGAATGATATACAGGCCCAGCATATAATCCAGTAGCCCGCTGATATTCAGAGCAGGTTTTTGATAGAGCGCCCATCAATGTGGTAGTTCCAGCTACCAGTCTACACCATGATACATGGCTTGACAAAATAGATGACGGGGGGGCAGATGATGGGGGGGCAGAGACATAGGAGGGGCCTACAAAGTCACGTGTGCCACTATGTCACTTCCTGGGAAAACCCAAAAGGTATGTAAGGGAGCTGTAGAAATCACCCAAAACTCAAAAACCATACAGCTTCCGGCAATTCCTAGCGCTACCCTCTGCCACTTTTGGTTTCCCCTGGAAATGATGCAATGGCACGCATGACACTGATTTTTAAAATATTTTTATCCCATTGCACCGTGGAGAGGTGGCAGACAACAGGACCTGGGTGCAGGGGAGTCCCACATTCCGACCAGGGGACTGACAAAGCATGTCTGTGAATAGAAATCCAATCTGACTTTTTTATTATGGATCACATGCATAAGGTATTTGCTGTTTTCAGATGGGATTCTAAAAGGTAGCCATGAAAAGTGATCCCCGCCGCCCGGCAGGGCTCTTTTTGTAGCAGGAACTCCTTTGCGTATTAGGTGACACACCCCTAATGTAGCCAATTCTCCAAGAGTTTACAGAGCTCTTCTTACAGGGGCTACTGTAAACTCTTGGAGGATTGGCTACATTAGGGGTATGTTGCCTAATATGCAAAGGAGTTCCTGCTACAAAAAGAGCCCCTAGTAAAGCCATAGGAACCTCTTCGGATTGAATTGGTTTGTGGTAGGAATACAGTTGTAAAACACACTGTAATCATGCAAAAAAAAAAAAGCAGCATAATGGTGCAAATAGGCACATATGCGTTCATTCAGGCACATCCGAACAGGTTTGTGTACGATCGCATCTGAGGCAGGTGAGGTTCTAGCAGGGGGATGTGGCCCTTCAAAGAATGAGAATAAGAATGGAGAAGAGCTGAAAGGATCTCGGATGGTCAATGTTTCTAAGTCACCCTTGCAACATTCTTGGTTTGTTTGTTTTTTTAATGTTCACAGTTATTAGTGTGGTTGACTTTAGGGAGATTTAAAAACAACAACAACAAAGTCTAAAAGAACTGAATTTGGAAGGTGGATACTTGATTGATTTAAGGTTTCTTTTGTTTTAGAAGCATTCTGTACTTCTACATCTCACAGTGACGTTTGCATTTCAAATTTAATTTTTTTTAACAATTTCCCGAGTGGCACTATATCAACAACGTGCAGCATGTGGCCACCTTTTCGATAGGGCTCATTTCACTGTGGTAGCTGCTACCCCAATTACCACCATGCTTCAGAGCCTTGCAAAATCCGCTGGAAGGATATAGTCTTGGTGGGTTGTTTCCGGTGTAGTTGCCTCATGGAGTGATTGTCTCGGTTTAGCACATGCCTGAGCATCTTGTGCTCTACCAAGTGGCATGTAGTCCACCAGCCATTTCTTGTAGCCTGTAACCAATGTTCCCTCTAAGCTGAGTCAGTATGAGCTAGTTCACAGTTGTTTAGCCTCTGACTCACGCATTTTTGTCTCAGCTCAGGAAGGACGGCTCCAGAGCAAAGTCATTTATGCAGTAGCCAAATTGCTCACTCACAACTTTAATGCTAGCCGCTTACAAAGTAGAATTTTTGCTCACAAGACTCCACAGCCTAGAGGGAGCATTGCCTGTAACCAGGGCTTTTTTTGTAGAAAACACCCAGCAGGAACTCATTAGCAAAATAGGCCACACCCAGCAGCAGAAACTCATTGGCATATTAGGCCACACACCCATGTTACCAGAAGTGTGCTCATCCAGCCACACCCATCTTTTGCTTCTTATTCTGTTTACCTTGTTTGTTGTCAAAACCCAGGGCTTTTTTGATAGCAGGAACTCCTTTGCATGTTAGGCCACACACCCCTAATGTAGCCAATCCTAATGAGTTCCTGCTGTTGGGTGTGGCCTAATATGCTAATGAGTTCCTGCTGGCCGTGGCCAACTTGGAAGCCAGCCGGAACTCCGTTCCTGTGCGTTCCTGCCCCAAAATAGCCCTGCCTGTAACCCCTCCCCCCATCTTTTATAGTTCTTGACGGGCAGACAGCAAAGAAAGAAGGCTTATACTAGGCATGCATTTATTGTTGCATTTATTTATTTATATCCTGCTTTTTATTTATTTAAATCCCACTTTTCTTTCTAGTCAGGACTCATAGCAGCTTTGAACATCCTTCTTCCCTCCTCCATTTTCTCACAACCACCACCCTGTGAGGTAGGCCAGGATGAGAGGTTGTGATGGGCCCAAAGTCGCCCAGCGAACTGCCATGATCGAAGTGGGGATTCGAATCTGGTTCGCCTAAGGTCCTAGTCTTTCACTCTTTCTACACTGGCAATTCCTAGAGAGTACAGACATCACTCGGAAGTGATGTCACACCATTGCCAGTGTCATTTCCTGCCCATCCTTATTCTCCCGATGGCGGCAGGAGCCATGGCAGGAAACAGGACCAGAGGGGCAAGGAATCCGAGCAGCCCTGTTGATGGTCCTACCCAGGGGTCATTTCGTAGAAAAGGAGGTGCAGGAGCTCATTAGCGTAACTCATCAGCATAACTTATTTGCATATGCCACACCCCCTGACATCACCAGAAGTGTGTCAGAAGGCAACACCCACCGCTCAGACTCCACTGGACTGTTTTGGATTGCTAGCTATGGGGGGGGGACGTGCAGATCTGTCCTCACAGAGGAGGGAGAGCTTGTACATGAATAAAACTTGGTCTTAAAGGTACCACTGGACTGTTTTGGACTCGGGGGCCTGGGGAAGCTCTGCAACTTACTTGGCTGCTTCTTGCTCTGACTGAAGGCTGCTGGGAGCTGGGGATGGGGCTTGTTGCATGTGCCCGCCCCCTGGGCTCTTTATTGCCGGAGCTCCGCTCCTGTGTGCTCCTGCAGGAAATGACACCTGGTCCTACCTTTTTGATACACTGCATTTCACTGTGGTAGTTCCCGTAAGCACTGTGGTACATAGTTGTCTGAAATCTTCGTGTCTGGCTGAGCAGTGGTGGGGTGGCTCCTTTCTCAAGCTGCTTTCTCACCAAGTAATGTCACCATCTAGGTTTGCCTTCAGAGTGTCCACAGCTTGCATAAATGATCTCTGGTTTTGGCTGAGTCCTCGCTTTACTTACTTATGAATTCCATGGGAAGGTGCTGTAAGTCCATGCTGGGGCACATGTTTCGCACACACAAGATCCCAGATTCAAAGAACATTACTTCGAGCAGCAGGTGCTGAGGAAGATGGGTTAGTCATGTAGCAGGGTTGTCCACAAAATGACTATGGGGAGAAGGAGAGGTCGAATGTCCATTTCCCCATTTTGCACAAATGCTGCTCCCAGTGGACTCACTTCCCGGGCTGTTATGCCTTTGTGACAGGAATACCCAGGAGGACGTCAGTTTGCAATAGTTCTCTCTCCTTTACTTGGTTTTAATTTGCAATGTGTTAATTATTACTTGCAAGCTGCCTTGGGCCAAGAGGAACGGCGGGGTAGAGATATTGAAACAGATTGATCAATAAAAAGTGGTTGTATGAATTGAACCCAGTTCCCATCTTGCAAGCTCAAGGTAGTATCCAACAGAGCTCATTTTTTGAGAAACGACAGAGTGTTGCTCTTTCCACGGCCCCGTCGCCCAGCCAGTGCTCTCCTTTGGTACTTCCTTCTCCTCTCATTTGCCCAACCAGTCTCAGGGGTCTTTAGCAGCTTCTTGATTAAATTGTGGGAGGAAACGGAACTAAAATAGATTTCCTGTCCAGGATTGATTGTGAATGCCCCGGTGCCTTGCTTTTAAAGACTACCTTGGAGCTAAGTTGGCATGGCATATCCAGAGATGCTGAGACAGAGAGAGGGGAAGGCACAGGGCACAGCGTGTTTGGCGCTGAGGTATGGACAGAATATCAAGAATTAAGCAGACAAATATTTATGTAAGGATATGAAGAGAGAGGAGCTGCGGTGGCTCAAGTGGTTAAGACGCTGAACTGCAGGCTCTGGAAGGTCGGTAGTTCAGCAGTTCAAGACCCGAGTGTGCCGCATGACGGAGTGAGCTCCCGTCTCTAGTTCCAGCTCCTGCCAACCTAGCAGTTCGAAAGCAAGAACTTGCAAGTAGATAAATAGGCACCACTTCGGTGGGAAGGGAACAGCGTTCCGTGCGCCTTGGTGTTTAGTCATGCCGGCCACATGACCACGGAAACGTCTTCGGACAGCGCTGGCTCTTCGGCTTTGAAACGAAGATGAGCACCGCAACCCTAGAGCCGGACTCGACTGGCTTTCAAGCAAGGGAACCTTTACCTTTACCTATGAAGAGAGAAACATAGATGAACAGGAAGGGAACGTGTGTGTTTTGTCAGTCCTGTGATTCCGTTCTACTGATGGTGAATCATAGAATTGTGCCCATTCACTGGAAACGGCTCTTCATTGGTTTGGGGGGGGGGGGAGGTATTTGTGAATTTCCTGCATTGTCCAGGGGGTTGGACTAGATGACCCCGGAGGGCCCTTCCAACTCTATGATTCTATGGTTAATGTATTGATGACTGCCAAATATATTGTTTTAGCTCTGCACAGTTTGGCCTAACTAGTTTGTGTTTTGCTTTCTGTGTCTGTTTTTATGACCCCATCTCTGTACAGCCAGCCTCCATTGTTCTGCCCAGGAACTACTCAAAGTGAGGCAATGGGTCATATAGGGTAGAATTATGGGGCTGGATTTGGGAAACCTCAGATGCATCTGAAGCTTGAGTGGTCTTGGGTCAGGCAGTACTTTTGATATGATGATAACAAAGGTCAATCCCATGTGCATCTTGGTTGGGAGGAGGGTGACACGGAAATGTGATCAATGAAGTACTGGTTTTTTTGGTTGGGCTGGGGAACATATTTACATAAGACAGATGCCTGGCTTAGGAAACCGTGCAATATCCCTTGTCTCCATCTTTTTTGAAGGCCAAATGAAGTTCCTTCATCCCAGGATGTGTTTTCTTGGTGGCTGCAAGCTGGTATTTGCATGGTTCCAAATCACTGTGCCGCTGTAGTCTCCACAATGATACAAACCCTGACAAGAACTTCTGTTGTGGTTCCGAGACTACATAGTATAACCTAGAGGAAGAGGATTGGGTGGCTGGTGCCCAGGGGCTTAGTTTGGAATGAGAAATGTTGCAGCTGTGTACCGATATGTAATGTTTAAAGCTGCTGAATGGAGCACTGGTTGGTGAACAAAGAGATGCGCACCTAACGTCATGCACAGTTCACACAGGGATGGCGATCCTAACTAAGGCCACAATTTGTGCGAGGGGGGGGTTACCTAACGGCACCCAGACAGCGGGTTTTTCCTTTCTTCTTTTTTCCACACTTTCCGGCGGCTCAAGGCAGTTCCAGGCATAGTCTCGGCACTCCCGGGTAGCTGGCAATCCTCGGCGGGCTTCCTTCCGCACGCTGCTTGTCGTACTGCGGCTCGGCTATTCGTCCCTCAGGCTCCAGCCGCGTCGCGTCGCCTCGCAGCTGCGTTGTTTGGCCCCGCCTCCGCCCGATGTTGCCTCCACGGTTGCCGGACCGCCATTGTTCTTCCTCGCCGCCTTCTCGTTGCCGCTTCTCTCTTGCTTCTCTTGTCGCCGCCGTTAACCTCCTGGCACGGAACCAGGAGGAGGGTGCCCCCTGCCTCTAAGACAGGTACCCATTTCTCTACTTGATGTTTATTTCGAGCTGCTGGGTTGGCGGGATAAAACCTTGTCTCTTTGATAGCCGATTTGATTATTTCTAGTATTTTATCATTTGTAACTGGGATATATGTGCTTTCAAGTTCTCATTTCTGATTTTTAGTGTCAAGTCATGTGGAGGACCAGATTGGTGAGATAATTTGAAATAAAAAAATAAATATGGTAGTGGAAAGTACCATCAAGTTGCTGATGACTTACAGTAACCCCGTAGGGGGTTTCAAGGCAGGAGATGAACCGAGATGGTTTGCCATTGCTGGCCTCTGCATAGCAACTCTGGACCTTCCTTGGTGGTCTCCCATCCAAGTACTCACCAGGGCAAACTCTGCTTGGTTTCTGACATCTGATGGGACTGGGCTAACATGGACCATCCAGGGTGGGGCCAAAATCCACTAAAATACACAAATGTATGTTGAATAAGTAAAGCGGTAGTCATGTCATAATAGTGACAGAACGTTCAAAGTATTTCATAAACCTGTTTGCAGTATTTGTTTATTTTGGATTTAATACATTTATTCAGGGCTATTTTTGGGCAGGAACGCACAGGAACGGAGTTCGGGCTGGCTCCCAAGTTGGCCA